CACTATCCAAAAACAACTGGATGGCCTACCTGCCTGTCAGCCTTCCATCTATGCACAAACTTATCTCGTGGCCTCATTGGTCATGCACGTTTGCGTGTGTTGGAGGGACTCTGTGAGAAAGTCTGAAGGAAGAGGCAGATTTTTTCCGGTTGTGTATTTTTAAATTCTAGCGCACTCAAGCTGGTTTCTCCATTCTTAACTACCTTTAACTCTTTTTAGGGTGCAGCTATAGGTTTTATTTATTTCAAAGTGGGCCCATTTTAATTATATATTTTTCCCCTTCAAATGTGCAGAGGACTCCCCAAGTGCTGTGTTTAATTTATTTTAAAGTAGGCCTATGTATTATTTTTAATTCTCCTTATAGGAGTTATTTGTTTCTTATTAGAGGTTAACAGTTTTATATAATGTAATAAATAGCCTAATAAATGTAAAAAAAAACTGTAGTTTTGTCAAGCTATGAAATATGTTTTGCGGCTCCAGACAAAAAAATGTTTTGGAAAAAGGAGCAAAATGGCTCTTTTGGTCAAAAAGGTTGCAGACCCCTGGGTTAGGGTAATGTAACCCTATTACAACAGAGATCAACAACCTATAACAGGGCCTATGCACAGAATGCAGCTATTCAATACTCATTCTTTATAAGAATATGAGCATGTCTGCTCAGGGGAGAGGCGGGTGTGGAAGCGATTCACAATCAGGCCAGCTGTAGAGAAGACCCTCTCAGCTGGAATTTGGGCATAAGATGAGGTTTGAGTCTGCGTGATCTGCATGTAGGGAGGGGCAGCAGCCATATCATTGGCTACAACTAGCTAGATCTGATGGATTTGGACATAAACACGAGTGAAGTGTAACCGGACGCGAGAGAGAGAGATCTGCACCTGCAGCTCTGCCCGCTGTGAGGGGCCGGTGAGCGGAGCAAAACACACCTTTAGACCTAACACATTTAGCTTGAATTTAATTATTCCATTTGATAATATGTAATCAACTTAGGCACCCCTCCCAAAAAAAAGAAAAGGAAAAAAAATATTACAATAAAAATATTCATAACTCATATTCAAATACCTGAATAATTTCGAATATTCGATTAATCGTTCCCATCCCTAGTGTAAAAGCTTTGTTTTGGATATTTAAGATTTTAAGTCCTTCAATTAATATTTTACATTTAACTTTGTAGTTTAGGGATCAATAAGAAGATTTACACCATCTACGAGTCTGCTGAAAACAAGAAGCTACAGTTTTAACATAAAGTCAATAAGACATGTGTATCTTTTAAACATTTTTAACTTGTGTAATGCTTGACACTGCTGCTGGAACAATATTATTTGCCCATTTGGGATAAATAAAGTATATATCCATCTATCTAGCTTAGCTTAAAGAGTGAAAACTGGAACAAACAGCTAGCCAGACTCTGTGCAATGTAAAACCAACCAACACCTCTAAAGCTCAATGTTGGGGAAATATTAGTCAGTTTATCAGTTTGTACTGCCCTCGCTGAGCACAGCTGCCCTCTCAGTGTTTTGTCTCCCTATTCCTGCCTGTTGGCGTAAGCTGATAGAGGTGTTATGGTTTTATCTTGTTATGCACAATGTTGATTATTCTCTCAGAACTAGCTAAATACAGGGGTCTGGGGTATAGATCTTCAGAATTGGTTTGGCAACCTCAGTGTCAGCTCGTGTGCAGCACATGTCTTGAATTCTCTAGCCGAGGCTCCAAATTAACCATCTCATAGATCCGGTTTTACCAGGAGCAGATTATTTTCTATAGCCAATAAATAGTTTGGCACAATTTCTAATATCCTTTAGATTTCAGAATTGAGAAACATTGTGTAAATAAGTGAGCTTTAGGATATTTTTTGGTACTTTAATATCTTTTTTCAATGTCAAACTTTGGAGGGATGGTGGTATTAGAGGAAATGTCAGCAGGTCACCAAACAGATCCACATTAATCCTCTGGGGATCATGAATATTCACATCATGTGTTGTATATAAATGAATAACCACCAGCACCTTCCACCAGAGGGAGAACAGCTGTTTATGCTCACCCTGCCAAAGATGGGCACCAGGTGATGTTCACACATGGAGAACATGTCGATGTCTTTGACGATCACCATCTCGTCGTGGTCCTCGTCGAAGATGGCGTCGTTTAGCACGTCTGCTGGAGAAAAGGAGGATTCATGAGAAGAGAGGGGGAAAGAATCTCCTAAATACCCCAAACAAGTATGCTTTGCAAGGGATTATCTCTTGTGCTTTTTTAACAATGTCCCTTAGGCGATGGACGGATGGAAACAACCCGGGACACCAGGTTCACCTCCACCGATGATCCGCCACTTTTTATCTCAGATTTGGTATTCCTCTGGCAAACACCGAGGTCTAATTATAGCTCTGCCTCCATACGCTGCTTCCTGTTGTTGCTTTATTGCAATTTTCAGTCGCCGGGGGTTCAATAAACCGCTTTATCTGTTTGTGACGACGCAGGCGCCGCTCGCTCTCACCGCCGTGTTTTTTAATTTCCTGACTGGCTATCTGTTGGAGGGGGGGTGGGTGGGTGGGCAGAGAACGGACTTGTTGCTTCAGTCTTTGCAGCTCATTGAACGACTCTGTTTGTAAACAGGAGAGAAGGTCGTTTAACGCTTTTAAGGTCTCTTACCATTTTTGTTTGTCTGATTATGACGCAGTTTGTCACGATGCCACGGCACACCTCTCTAACCAACATCAACATCTTGTCTCTTGATCCTATATGAGACTTTTGACAGCTGAGTCTCTGCAGATGTGGCATACTGCTTTGGATCAACTCTTCTCCTGTGACTTGAGAAACCCTTTGTGTAATCTTTTTTCACAACTTAGGTCACCATCAGACGTTGTCTGATGTATCAAATTCATTCATTAATTTAGATTTTAGCTGAGGCTGGGAGTAATTTCATTAGTTTTGCAAGAACTTGGCCAAAAACCACAGATTTTGTTAAATTGTATAAACGGAAAATGTATGTGCACTAATTACTAACTGTATCTTTCTTCTGTTGGCTGCTACCCCCAAAACACATTGATTATATCTGCTTTAATAAAAATGACCTCTCAGCATCCTTAACAGTTTCGTTATGATCTGATAGAAAGCAAAGCTACAGAAATTAAATTAAAGTTGTTGTAAAAAAAACTCTGATTACAGATGTTACACTGTCAGTTACCGTACAAGTTTAATCTCTCTCAAGAGGACAACACACACGCACGCGCGTCCTCAGGGAAAATAACATTATGTCAACCTTAACTGGATAAAGGGCAGCTGTTGAGGACTGCCGTTTTGGACGCCCTGGGTGACAGAAAGTATCAGGTAATGACAGACTTACTCATCATCAGCTCCACTTTCAATAGTGTTTGTTTGTGTGTGTGTGTGTGTGTGTTTGAATCAATACAAGACACAAAAGCCACATGTTGACACGTTCTGAATGCAGCAGGAAACAGTGGAGTGAATGGCTAATTAACAGAGGTTATTCACTTATTGTTTGGCAGCCAAAACAATGCGTGCGTATGTGTGACATTTCTCACACACACACACACACACACACACACACACACACACACACACACACACACACACACACACACACAGTCTTAACCCCTGGGCTGTATTCATGAGTCACCCCTGTACATCCTGGTCTCAATATAGAAACCTTGTTTATTTCCCAGTTTGACATCCCATAATATTCAGTGTTCATGCTGTTTTCAGAGATGCTGAGTTTCAGGAAATTGTCTTTTTTGTGTTGCTTATTTAAAAATACCTTTATTGATATAGTCTGAAGACTCCCCGGTGCTCTGCGCTGCCTTTTGATTAAGGCCACAAACGTTTTTTTTGTGTTTTGTTGCTAGGCAGCCTCCTCACAATCAGCTGATGATCAGCTGTCAGACCTTCAGGACAGGTGTTTGGTGCAGTTTTTTGGTTTATGTGCTCATTATAAAAAGGCCTTTTATGTACATCAAAGTTCTCTGTGTGAGTTGTGGAGGTGAACAGTGAAACTATAACAGCTGTTCACAGACACACTTCTTCAACTCTGACTTTTACTGTAGATGAGCATTCTCCTTCAATGAGAGATTATAACAATTTGCAGTATGAACTAAATAGTAAAGTGGTTTATTTAATCTGGATAATCTGTGTTCTTCAGACTTCATTATACTGATGGCGCTGTGTCTGGTCTCAGAAATTAGCGTGTTGAATACAAAGTTATCATATCTGATAGAAATGCAGATCAAATGTAAGCAGCTCTTTGAGGCGCTAATATTGTTAGCATGCTAACTGATTTCAATTACGTGAGCACATCAGGCTGCCAGGTTGCAGTTGCAATACAATTAAGTCAATATTTGTATATCAAGCCCAATCTTTGTAAAACATATGTATATGTTATTAGTATCCAATCCAACACTTTAATGGGAAATACGTTTTGAGGTTGAGTTACTGCCTGTCCATGTTATGTGTAGCCTATTATTATCCTCAAAAAGTGGAAGGACTCCAACAATAAGTCACTCAATCTCAGTGGCTCAATTCATCAAAAGTAATTTGGCCATGATTTGTTGAAGCAAATTTTCCAGCAAAAACTAAAAATATATTGTGGTTGCAGCTTCTCTTTTGCAACTCGTATTTGTTTTGGTTAAGAAAAATAAAATAAATACACAAACTTGCATTCTGGTGGATTGAAAAGACCAAACAATAAGGATGAATTCACCTTTTGATTATTAATATAATAGATCATTAGCTTTGTAAAAATGTCCTTCAAATCAAAAACGTATGCAGTAATCCAAACGTGTTTAATCTCTAAAACTCCTGTACAATCACGAGAGCAGAATTCCTGTTAAATCTGCATAACTTTTCCCCATTACAAGTGTGTTGGTCATGTGCACGGCAACAAGAGGATTTTAGGCTCATGTTGTGATGAAAGCTAAACCCATGACACACACACACACACACACACACACACACACACACACACACACACACACACACACACACACACACACACACACACACACACACACAGTGTGACGCTCACTAAGAAACGCTATAACCCTCCACAAACATCCAGCTTTGAAACTACATTTTATTTCTGTTTTCCAACAAGTCAAAGGGGAGTCTCCAGCAACAGCCAATCAGAACACAGACAGAACACCGCCTGCAGCACACATGTATGTCATCATTATCTCCTCCACTGTCCATCCTCTCCTGCTCAGAGGCAAGGAGAAGGTGGGAGGGGTCAGCTGGTACCTGTGAAAACATGAATCACTCTTCACATTTGTCCCCCCCCCTCCCCCTGCATTCCTTCCTTTACAGTTTAACAACACATTAACCAACCCCCACCACAGAGCAAACCACCTCCAGATGGAGGAGGCTGAAGGGGCAGATCCCGAAACCAGCCAGTCCAACGCGTGGAGAACCCGGCCCGCATGTGGAGAATGACAGTGCACATTTAATCCTCCCACACCTGCATTTGACTCAGCAAAATCCTCTCTGGAGCAGCGGGTCGAAAGGTTTGGCTGGATCCAACGGGAGCCAGGGGAACGCACGGATCAATGTATTCAGTTTAATAGCTTTAAAGAGTACACACAGTACACAGAGGTATAGTCGAAGGGCAGGTTTGGTCAGCTCTGATTGAGCATGCATTTGTCATTTTAATTTCTGTGATCATCTTAAAAAAATGTTTAACTCGTTTGGCAGCAACATCCAGCCTGACTAGATGGGCCTGATCAAAAGTCATGAGAATATTTGTTTCAAGGAGCGGATTTAGGTGCGCAACACAAAATGTAAGACTGTTAACACACACACACATCCAAAGCTTCCGACATTTTGGAGAAATGTGTATAACATTCTTTTGGGAGAAATGTATATAAAAAGATTCACAAGGCAAGGACTAAAACATTTGTTTTCCTTTATGGGATCATCTGAAGTTGTGTCCTTAACTAAATAACCGAAATCCAAAAGGTACACCTTTAGATGTCTTGTTTTGTTTAACCAACAGTCCAAAACTGCCAATGTTCAGATTACTATCAATAAGAACTGAGAAAACTACATCTCATCACAGAAGCATTGTTGCTTTATAAACACCTTGTGCGTGCACTTATTCCAGTTTCAGGGCTTTTGGGGAAACCTAGCTCTGCTGTGTGAAATCATAGCTCCGCTTCAGGCTGACAATATTCACTTTTCAAATGCAGAGGTGGAAAGTAATTAAGTATTTTATAAGCAATGTTATGCTTCTTTATACTTCTACTCCACCATTCACAGTGTAATTATTGTACAATTGAATTCATGGAGTAAAGTACAAATATTTCAAATCTTCATCATCATTATCAAAGGCACTCTGATATGTTTCAACTTTATCACAGTTCAACATGCCTGCACCAGCAGGAATTCTGTCATTAAAAGCATCTCAGTCTGGATTTACTCAAATTGGTTTTATATCGTGAAACATTACTCATGATTACAGCTGAGCACCAGCAGGTAGACCTTGAACTCCCCTGACTTTAAAAAAATGCTTAAATATCACACTTTATACAATAAACTTATATATTAAAGCACTCAATATGCAGCAAGTTGGCTCAACTGTTGATTAACTGTATATTATTGTCTTTTTAGAGTTTGATTCCTGTATAAGAAGGATTTTCATGATGTAGCTGGTTGAGATAGACCTAATGAAATATCAAAAATATAAGTAGATACACTTTATATGTTGCTGGGGAGCTTTATCTGTCACAATATTTGTTTTTACTGATCAATTTATTTTTAAAGTCTTAATGGACAAAGTAACTACAGCTGTCAAATGAACGTTGATTAACAATAAAAGTATGTCCCACTTGGTATAAAGTTGAGTTAAAAAGGGAACTAATAGCTTTTACTTATTAAACTATGTCCTTTAAATCAGCCAAAAGTCTTATTTCTGATTATCTGAGAATTAGTAAATATGAAGGAAGTAGAGAGTGGGTTTTGGGAGATGCTGACTCTCCTTTAGCAGCCACCTGTTGACCGCAGGACAAATCCCCGCATCCTCTGAGCGGCTTTGGGACTTAAAAACTCACCGATGATTTTCTCCTGGTAGCCCTTGGTGAAGAACTGCATGGCGGTGGCCGCTCTCCAGGGGGTCTTGAGGAGCCCCTGCCGCTGGGGGTCCTCCCCGAGCCCCCGCAGGATGGTGGTGTAAGCGGCAGCCAGGGACGGCAGGCTCATCTCGTTGTCCTCCACGCTCCTGGTGCGATCCTCCCGCCAGCTCTCCATCACCGGCCGCTGAGAGCCGGACTCCGCGGCGGGAGGCTGGGAGGGTCCGCCGGCCGGCCGCTTCACCATCCCGTCACAGTGTCCGTTCACCACGGAGCTGGCCCCGGCGTCCTTCTTGTCGCTGGAGCCGAACTGGGTCTGTTTGGAGTGCTCCATCACTTCTTCTTCTTCTTCTTCTTCTTCTTCTTCTTCTTCTTCTTCTTCTTCTTCTGTGTTTAACTTGTGTTTCCTGTCTGCTGAGCACTTGTTGGACCAGTTGCTGCTCTCTGAATCTCTCTCTGTTCCGACTTAAAGTACGCGCTCCTCCAGTAGCTTCTACATCCAGCCTTTATAACAGCAGATAATCCAGGGAGAGCTCCTATTGGCTGGCCGGATCCAGGGGGCGTGGTCTACGACTATTTCATTAGTGACGCAACAAGTGCTCATATCAATACCACAGTATACAAATACTACATTCAGAATCTTACTAAGTAAAACTACATGAATATTATCATTGCATGTACTTCAGGTAGCTGAAGTAAAGTAGGCTACTCAATGTGCATAATGGGTCATTACAGAATCATTGTTTTGGGTACAACTGGCTAAAACTTAAGCATTCTAGTACAACAGTCTTGCAATTAAAGAAAAATAAGTAATATTAATAGTAGATAACTAACATTATTGATATAGAACCTTTCCAAAACAATGTGTACAACAAGCTTTACAGGGGGTTAACAACAAAGCCAATAATTAATGTATTAGAAAAACTATAACAAAAGCACTTTCCATAAAATGATTAAATAAAGCAATACAATATAAAAAGAGTGGAAATTGTGAATACAATTCAGATTAATTACAAACAAAAATGCTGGTAAAATAGATTACAGGAAGGCTAGACTATATAAGTCTTATAAGGAGTGTTAAATAATTAGATGGACAGATATTGCAAAATATGTTGGCAAACGCTCGTTCACCTTTGTGTCTGGATCCAGGACCCAGAAAGAAAGCAGGATTTAAAGACCTCAGGGCCCTGAAGGCACACAAGGAGTGAACATATCTGAAATATAGTTTAGGGGCAACCATTCTGAGCTTTTCAAGTGATGTGTGTAGATTTAGATATGGGGTGGAGTAAAAAGCACAATTACGCCTTCCAAAATGTGGTGGAGTGGAAAGTGGAAAAGGCTGACAATGAAATGTCAGTTTTAAATCTCAGTCCTGATTATTATTGCGACCTGCTAGCTGACTGCTTCTGCAGCAGTAGGAAGAAAAAAGAAAATCCAACAAAAAAGTTACATCAAGATAAGAACAAACTCTTTAAATACTACAAAGGCACGAAAGCAGTAATAAAAAAACAAAAAAGCAGAACAAAGTTACCTTAAGGATATAAAATAAGGAGGTGTTTCGTCTGTTTAACATCAAGAAGTTGCATGTCATACAGGCTTCTACGTGGTGCTCCCCCTCGCCCCGTTCTGGATGAATACCATGAGAGATTGGCAATGTTTCAAAACAGATGGTGCCATGGGACTGCCTCTGTGTATTTGCTTGTATTGTTTATCCTTGGTTTTAAATTTGACTTTAACTATATTTATTTGTTCTTTTCTTTTCACTATCTCTGTAAAGCAACTTTGAGCACCTGTAAAAGCGCTAACAAAATTAATCTATTATTATTATTATTATTATTATCCTGTTCTATTTGTACAAGATCAAATAACCCTGAGCTTCAGACATCACGTTGGTCTCCTGCAAGCAAATTACTTTGTTAAATAGGAATTTTCTTTACATTAGTGACCTTTTTTTGTTGTTATATATTTGCATCTTCAGGAGGAACAAACGGGCTGAGAGCCACAGACAGAAGGGAAGTCAGAATGTAGTCATTGTTGAATATAACACCAGACATATCCTTGAAAGAGCCCATCAAATATGATCTCCCCTTATTTCCCTTCTTTGTGAATGAATTCAATGCCACACAAAAAACTGGATGGAGACTAAAAATGTGAACTAACAAACATTTCCATTTATTCAATTTGTAAAATACAGTTTATAAGGGTTTATAGAAGTGTTGTAAATGTAAAATCAAAACAAAGGATGCCCCATTATTAATGAATGTGTGTTCTGATAAGTGCCGCAAATAACAGACGCAATGTCTAACGCAGCAAACAGATTTCCTACATACGTTTGCACTAAAACCAAGACTACAATAAAAATGTTTAGTTTTTGTTAAAAGCAAATGCTGAAAGCTTGGAGGATGGATCTAGAGATTTTTTCTTCTTGGCACTATTTTCATCTGCTTCTGCCTGTCCTTTCTCAATCTCTGCACCCTCTGCTCCTCCTTCGGCCCTCTTCCGCTTCTTCAGATCTGCTGCGTCTCCAGTTTTTGCTCTTTCCGTCCAGGACTGAATCAAATAGGAAAAATACAAGAACATGAAACGCCTGTTGATTACGGAACAGGACAAAATCATACAGTTCTTCCATTTCAATTGAGGCTCCAAACACCTACATCAAATGACCACACACACACACACTTTGAAATTGCATCCTGTCATGTATAATCACTACTGACAGGCTGCTGCCTCTTTTCCCTCCTCGTGCTTTC